GATGAAAAAAAAAACACTTTAAAATATTTTTTTTTATAATCTGTGTTGTTTTTTATTAATAATTTAAGATTGGATGGATTTGGATTATAACAGTTATAAACCTAATGAGATAATAAATAAGAAAGTAAGATATTACTGAATCATCAGAAAAAAAAAAAAAAAACACGAGATAGGAAACATGTTTTTCAGAAGAAGAGTTAACAGTTTCTAACCTCATTGAAATCCATTAATGCAACAAATATTAAAAAATTGATAGGTAAATTGAATTAAAAGACATTCAAAATCGTATGAAATAAATTTAATTAATGTGAAATGAATATGAAATAAAAAATTAAATGAACATATCGCATGTAAAAATTGATTTTTTTTTTAAAGTGGACCATAAAAACTGATTTATTAGTATAATTTTAAATTTGATTTTCTTCTGCTATTTTCCATAGTAGCAGACAACTTATAGCATTTGCAGACCACAAAATTTCACCTTTAGCACAAACAGAATAAACATTTAAAACTGTTACATACGAGCTTTTGAAGTAACAGTAGCGATGAGAAGAAATTTAAAGGTGAAAAAAATACGCAAGAGTAGCCAACAGTTTCTACCCTCATTAAATTCATCAATGTAACAAATAATTAGAAATTAATAGGTAAATTAATCATTACAGTTATCCTTCGAGTCCAATTTTTTATATTTCTAGATATCAATCCAAAACGGATGATTTTTTTAAATGGTGTAATAGCCAAAAATAATCTTGCTTTAACAGATTTCTCTGCCACATTATATATTTTACGGGCCAAATACTAAAGATGTTATCTAATGCAGGAACACCAACAACGACATTATGTAGAGTATTAAATTTAACCGTTTAGGCGTCTTTATAAAACTATGTTAAAACAATATGCTAACTAAATCGTCTATATTTCATAAATCTTAGATAAAAAAAAAAATGACATGTAAATTTTAAAAATATTAATATCAATTATTTAAAATTATTCTACAATCGAATCGCAGTCTATGCTACCGTGTAAGTAAAAAAAAAAAAAAGTAAGATTTTTTACATACCATTTATAAATAAATGTCAACACATAATATTAGATTTTTCGTCTGCAATATTTTATAGGATTAGTATTCGTAATTTGTTAAGGAATGTTATACTTTTTAATTTTTAAGATATTCCAAGAATGGTTCATTCACGGTAGTTTTGATTTTCCATTTATTTCTATAAACTTATCATAGCATATGCGAATGTATTTTATAATTGAATGAATTTATTTATAAATTGCAATTCCAGCAATAGTTGGCGGGTGGTGCTGGTTAGCATATTACCAGCGGGAAGGAGTCGAAAACTTCGCCTAACACCTTGATTGGTCCAATTGCCCGGGAAGTTCCGGATCTTATACAATCCAATCAATTGTCGTAACAATTCAACATAAAAACTATAATTCTCCCTACAATGACATGAACACTGTCTTACATTAAGTAATTACAAGAAGTTGATAGCAGCATTATATGAACTAATGGAAAAAGAATTCAGCATTGACCTATCTTCATTGTCTTACAAGAGCATTGGGATCTTCCTGGACAATCGGGAAGACCGAGACGGATTTCTTTTAAGCCCCCCTCTAACAAAATCCCTTCAGTGCCTTAATAATTGAGCGGACAGATTTCTTCTAGGACTATTTAAAAATAATGAATTAAAAAATGCAAGTGAGAGTTTAGAACGTAAAACATTAAGAGGACCCTCTCCCCTCTATCCCCAAAAAACTAAGGTGTGTGCTTTAGACCACACGATGGAAGCGAAAACATTAATAAGGCGAGATTACTAATATGAAATACAGATTATAAATAATAGCTCATTATAAAGAGAATGAACAGGCGAACATTCTCCTCCATTACATTATGCACGTCCGATTTTTAGTTTCTAAGATATTTTAATCCATATTTCCAATAAAATTCGTTATAATTTGGTTTTCGACACTATGTTTTCTTTTCGCCATCCTAACACGGCTTCGCGTTAAGATTTTGAATAATAGCCTATTACATAGCGGATGAAATGATGAACGATTTTCTCGCTTACAGTACGGTGGTCCGATTATTAGTTTCTGAGATATTTTGATCAATGTGCAACACTTCAATTAGTTGACTCCAGCCTACTTCACCCGAGCGTTACACATCGGACATCTGACGGCTCAATCTAATTCACTCTCCGCAATTAATAAATACAACTTATGAGTCAACAAATTAAATATTTTAATTACATTTGTTTCATCGTTATATATAACTTTTTTAGTCATTTCCAAAAACTTTAAGTTAAGATATTGAAGACGTCACACAAGCAGTTTACCCACCTCTTAAAATTAGACAATTGCAAATATAAATATAATATGTCACATTCGCGAAACTGGTTCATAATTGAATCGATATTCTTTAATTAACGAGCATTAATATGATTAAAAAAATAAAATTGCAAATACATAATTAATACCAAAAACAAATTTAATATGCTTAAAAAAAGTTTGTAATTTTTCTTCAGAAAAATTATTATTTTATTTCTTAAAAAAATCCTGTAATGCAGGATAAAACCTCTTCAAATGGGTCTAATGGGCCCCACTAACCTCCCCTTTAAGTACACCACTATCATTTATGTAGTGTGGAATTAGAGGGGGACAAAGGGGGTTGAGTTATATTTAAAATTTCATGGGAATTTTATTTTTAGGTAACATGAAAAAGATCAATCCTTTTCGATTGTTTTCACCTTCATTCAGTTAATAATATGAATTATTGTTGTGAGATGATATTATTTCGTAACATGTTACCTACATCAAGTACAGTTTAAAAAAGTTGAATTTTATTAAAAGGGTAATAGAAAGAGTGACAAAATTAAGTTAACCACTTAAAAAAAAGTCCTAGTTATGGCTCTGTGACAAACCATAAGATTACCATAAAATTCAATATTGAAAATTCATGTCATTGTTAATATTTAATAATTATTTACCCGGAATTTTATTATTTCTCTATTGTCACTTTACGAACGGTCTCGAGTTTCTGATTAACACTTGACATTCGTCTACGTTTACGCATACGACTACGCCTGATTCACGGGCTTATTAATTATTTGTCAACACTAATTATAACTATGATTAGTTGAGCAAGATTGTTTGTAAAATTTGTTTTTGTTGTAAGAAATTTGGTTTTAAGCAAAAAAAAAAAAATAAATAAAGCTTCAAGAAATTCAACATTTCAGGACAAAATCTACAAAGATTGGTATAGAATAACAAAAGAAACCTCTTGGCAAGGAATGACAGCTTACTTTCTATGTTAAAAATAGCCAGTCTCAAAGGTATCCTAACTATTGACAAAGCACGAAATTAATACATTCAGTAATTAATTCATCATTTTTTTATAAAAATTACACCACTATAACATCCAACAGCTCATGTAATGAATTAAAAAAAATGTAATTGTTGGAAAATATTAAGTGGATAATTATCTAAATTTTTATAAAAATTCTGAACATTGTTGGCAACTACTAAAACATGAACATACTACTAAAACTTATTATTATTTTTAAAAATATTTTCAGGGTATTTAACGTAACTTAACTTTTAAATAAAAATATATGATAAAAATTCATGACCTCTAAATAAATTAAAAGGAAAAAAATAATGAGAACCACAACACTGCCAGGATTCATGTGATACAAAAATAGAAAAGTTTTACAAATAATAAATAATAAATTTAACAAAACTATGTATTATTTAGAAAAGTATTCTTATATATATAGAGAAAATTATTGTTGCTATCGTAGACTAGAAGAATTGTTTTTCTTCTTTGAATTTATTTGTGTTCAGAAAATAAAAATATGAAAAAAATATGCAATTATGTATAAATAAAGTTATTATAATTGATATTTTTTAATAAAAACAACAATACAAATTATTCAAAAAAATAAGATCCTTTTGAATTTTTTTTTTATTTTGTAAAATGTTAGAATATTATAAAATTTTGACTAATAATTTTTAATGAAAACAAATATATAGATGCACTAGTAGATGATCACTTGTTTCCGAACTTAGCCCTAACAGATTTTTTTTTGTAAAACGAGATATGTATTATGAAGAGAAGAATAGTTGGGGTGGTCAGTCAAAAAAGAAGGTAAAAATAAATGATATTATTTATTTTTACATATGCAAAAATAAAACAAATAAATATTATCATTTATTTTTGCCTTTTTTTTTTACTGACCACCCCAACTATTCTTCTTTTCATTATCCACGACAGTCAACCATTTACCAATTATGAGATATGTATTAATTCCAATGTAAAAACGCCTAACGAATTCGATGGTACAATATTTTTTTTTTCCGAAACGAACTTATATAAATATAAAAGAAAACAAAAAGTGTGTGAAAATTCCCGAAACTGACCATTTTTATTAAGGGATATAATGAAACTTGAATATCTTTATTATTCTTACAAAAATAATTCATCAATATCTTTTTTAAATTTTTTATTGAAATACAAATTTAAAATATTTTTTTGCATCATTATTGTAAACAAAAAATAAATATTTATATTTTTTCCCCTCTTAATTTTTTCTCTATAAAGCGAACGCAAATCAACCTTTTTTTTTTGTTAAAAAAATTCTTTCCAAAATCAAAGTTTTAAAATCACTATTGAAATAATCAATGATTTTTCGAACTTATATACTACAAATATAGAAGTTCTTAATTTATTTCTTTTTAAATATTGATTTGTTTAGATATCATAATTGGAATAAAAAATATAAATTTTTTCGAATTTCTTCAAAATTTATCAATGACGATGAGAGTTCACTTTAAAAATAAAGGACTCACATTATGGATTAAAGTCATCACATAAAAGATTCATATCTGCGTACCCTGTTGAAGAATAATACATATTGCTTTTTTCTTTTTTTATTTCCAGTAAACATTTGAAATTTTATAAAATATATATATATATGTATCATAAAAATACTTACGACGAAGACTTTCTGCAGACTAGGGTCCGCGCTGGACATCACATCTGTCAAACTCACGACGACCATAAAGATCATGGAGCAGACGATGATAAAGCCGTAGAGATAGCGTCCGTACATGAAGTCTAGTGTAATGTAGTCTAGCCAGCTCCGGGGTCTTTCTCCCCCACTGTAGCTGTGGTAGGGGGCATTTACCAGAGGCGTATCATCGCTCAGCAACTCTGGAAGGATAGCAACTTTAATATAAAGGATATAACAAAAATGAAAATATAACAACTAAACAAAAAAAAAGTCAAGTCCTCAGACGTGTAAATAACAAAATATACTTCAAAATCAACTAAAAATCATAAGTGCGAAACATAAGATAGTATTAGGAAAGGAAAAATATTTTTTTAAAATTTGTTTGTATCATATAACTTACTGCGCATCACTTAAAACTTTGAGGATATTACTTGGCTATAAATATGAACCAATGACAATTATTATACATTTCTATACACGTTTATTCATTGCGCGTCAAACAGAAAATAAAATTTAAAAAAACTTTAGGAAATTTTTTTTAATTACTTAATAATGAATTTTTGGACAACGTAAATACTTCAAATCAGTATTTGAGAAAAAAAAAAAAACAAAAAAAAAACAGCAGTTGTAGACCACAAAATTTCATCTTTACTACAAATAGAATAAACATGTAAAACTGTCACATACGAGCTTTTATATTTCTAGATATCCATCCAAAACGAATCTTTATTTTAAATGGTGCAATAGTAAAAAATAATCTTGCTTCAACCGATTTTTCTTCCTCATTAAATATTTTACGGACCAAATACTTGTTTTTAATTTATTTAGACATATAATATTCTGTCACAGGGACAATAATTAAATGAACACATTCACACCGTGTATAAAAAAAAAAAAAAAAAATGTACATTTTGTTAATGACAAAATAGCTGTATATGTGATTTATTTTTACTATTCTTCATAATTATATGTTTAATTAAGTTACTGTATGTTAATCGTTATTTTAATTTTAATTGCAAATAAAATATCTTTTACTTTTTTGTTTTAATTAATTTCCCTGACACACATATATACATATCTATATGATAGAAAATAAAAAGAATATTCCCTGAAAAAAATAACGGTCTGTTTTCATTAGATATCTTCTCCAAAACCAGCCAGATGTAGCTGATTTTGTATACTGAAACCAGGAAAACTGTTTTGTTCTTTGAAAATTACTTTCATAAAACGATGATGAATAAATTGTAAAAAGTAGAAAAATATTTTCACGAGATAGACTCAAATGTTTAAATAACCTGTCACTTAATTAATTGTTATTTATCTAATTAGAATGACCACGAGAACTAGTTTTCCAAACATCCACATATAAGATTAGACAAGTTGGAAACATAAAATATACTATACCCATAATTATTTCATCAAATACAATAAAAAGAAACAACAGGAGTTGATCTAAAATTTTGTCATTTGTATGTAATTGGTTTATTATTTAAGTATCTTATACATCAATCTTTTCAATACAAACTTTTAAGAATAGCAATGCTCTAGTACGTAAATAATAAAACATATCGACTATAGACCAACACATACGTACTCTACTCACGATCATTGAACAATTAGGATTAAATTAAACAGTTTAAGAATATTAAACTATTCTGACAATTATAAACAATGGACAATGGATTTATAAACATGCCCATCAGGACACGACTGAAAAGGAGCTGGTTGAGAGATCTCCTTTTCTGAATCAAGGAAGTAAGCAAAGACAAAGAATAGGTGCTGCTGGGTATTACCCTACCTCACGCCTAAAATGTTATTTTCCAAATTCAACAAAAACACAAAGGCTTATTGACACATTCAAGAGAGGCGGGGATGAAGATTTTAAGGGAGAAAAAGTATTATATAACTATAATTTCGCTAAGGAAAAATAAATTTTAAGACTTATTTCAGACCATTTCGGATTGTTATTTGTGCGACAAGCACTTATTTAATTTCACCAGCATCAAGGTCGGTCTGAAATAAGATTTTAACGATGTAGATAACGAAAAATGTTAACAAATACTACCACTTTCTTGAAATATATAAATGTCAAAAACATAAATAATTTAGGAATTTTATATAATGCCGTTAAAAATAATTTGAAAAAAAATTATGGACTTAAGCTAAAATAAAATAACAATTAAAAATATTTCACACAAAACTAATAAATTGTATGGATACATGTCCCTATCATTACTACTTAATAACATAACATAGTTTAATTTAATTAATTTTTGGGCAGCATCCGTTAATTAAATATTTTAAATTTAATTAAAACATTTTATGTGGAATGGTGTATTTATACTATAAAATTATTTTATAATTATACAACTTTAAAGTTTATAGTTCAATTTTAATAATGCATTTAACACAGAATCCGCTAATTAAAATATTATAAATTTAATTAAAAAATATTTTAAGTTGAAAAATAATGTATTTATACCATCAAATTATTCTATAATTTATTAATTTTATAAATTAGTTTTAAATTTTATAATTTCTATTATATATCACAAAATTATAAAGTTTATAATTTTAATGTGAGTTTCTTAAGTGGACTATTTAAAAAAATAAAAAATGCATGTAAAAATTAATATTACTATTTAGTTTGCAAATAATATAAAATGCTAAAACCATTATTTAAATATGTTTTCTTTATACGGTTTAAATCTCATACTGAATGAAAAATCAACTTTTTTTCAATTTTTTTTTAAGCCTATTTCATAAATATTACATTAAATATATCAGAATTCCAAAGGCAAAATTATAATTTTCACTTTGCTAAACTAGACAAAACCAGAAAAAAATAAAGTAATTATTTTCTAAAATTTTAACTGATTTTTGTCACAACAAATACAAAATATGTACAGAACATTGTGTGCCAAAAAGTAAAATAAAGAATTTTTTATGCTTACGGAAAAACAAAAAAAAAAAAAAAAATAAATAAATAAAAGAATCATATATGAACGAAAATAAAGCATTTGGTAAATTTTACAAACATTAAAAATATGTAAGTACATGTTATATAAATAAAAATATAATTTTAAGTGAACTACCTAAATAGAAGAATCAATCTGTTTTATACTCTTTCATTCAACTGAATATGGCAGAATTAGATTTTTGCAACATTATACAAAAATATAAACAAATTAAGAAATTATTTTACAAAATTTTAACTGATTTTTTTGCTCTAATAAATAAAAAATCGGTACAGAACATTTTGTGCCCATAAAAAACAAAATAAGTTTTCATAGTTACAGAAAAAAATAAATCATCAAACAAGAAAGAAATAGCATTTGACAAACTTTTAAAATGTTTCATAGATATTTTTACATGCAATCGGTTTATTGCAAAAAAGTCACTAGGTACATTTTCGATGAAACTGAACTATTTTTGTTTTTTCGACGTTATGAATTTAGAACGTTTTTGTAAATTTCGACCTTATGATTGAAATAAACAAAAGTGCACATATATATAAAACATTTAACGAGTTTTTACAATAAACCGACGATATAAATGAAAAAGTAAATTTAAAAATAATTGTTAAGAATCATTCTGGTTAGATGTGCATTTATGGAATTATAATTGAGACTGATTCGTCACGAATTTACCGGCCAAAACTTGTCACTACGCTCCTGTTTATAATTACAAAAGGTACTTAAGAAATTATTTAATTAATGTGCATTGAATAATATTGAACTTATATAACATATACTATACTCTTGATTGAATACTTTATGTAAGAAAGAACATATTACTAGCTAAGACAGAATATTCATAAAAAAAAAGAAAAAAAAAGTAAAGTATTATTGGCAAGAACTATGAACTATTTTAATAGTTATATTTGACAGAAAAACTCACTCATATTCATAGATAGACAGGCAACACTCTGCGAGATGGAAGAACCTTCGAGGATGTCAGAAAAGTTACTGAAGACTGAGGAACGAACAGAGGGTATATGTAGACTGAGCAGGTATTCTCACTGACCATTTCCCTAGGCCGTCATTGCCCTAAGGGTTCCAAGGGTTCTGTAAATCCAAGTGAAGGGGGGCTTATGTGAGGGTCCCACAGCAATAAACGAGAGGTAGATTGGCAGAACGGGGTGAGGTGCAAATTAAACAAAGACCTTAACATCAGACAAAGTACGAATAGTGAAATAAGTCAAAACGCTGTAAGTTGTACGAAATACATGAGCTTCACGTTAGCTTTATCTAGCATACATCCAAAAGTACCACTCTCTGACATTCTTCGTCTCAAGCTCTCTTAGTACGAGATAAATGCATCTATAAGTGTCAGTTCAGATTATCCAAACGATTAATCAGTATAATACTCTTCATCCTAATAGCAATTAATAAGTATCGTGCTAAGCATCTACAACAACCCTTTTCACTGTTATAAGAAGCTTATTACAATCTATGAAAAATTAATTGTCACTTTTATTAAAATTCAGATCATTTTTTTTTTAGAAAATCGTGTCAATTCTAGATATAAAACATAAAAATCACTATGACCACATCATAAAAAAATTAAAAAAGATGTAAAAACAACCAGGAGCAGGACCAAACGAACTCATATACTGAAGAGAGGTTGATAGAATAAAAGGATTAGAACGAAGTCCACTTAAATAACCAGTGATGTGATGATAAATATTGACTAAGTTTGATAACCTAATAACATGTATTGGAAGAACAGGATATAAAGGAAAATCATTAAGAAGGAAAAATAAAAAATGAATTGTATATATATTTTAAACAAATATGTATAAATATAGGAAAAAATGTAACAAATATTAATGACGTTATGATGTTCTAACAGTGAAAAGAAATGTCTCTGAAGATCGAAAAAGAATTCGAAACGTTTATTAAATTATTATTATTATTACGTATTTAAACAAATTCAAACAAATTATTACGTATTACCCATATTCAAAAATCAACGATTTGTTGTTTGAGAATGAAATCTAAATAATTCAAGAAGTATAATCTTGTCGAGGAAAAACGCACACCTAAGTGAAAAAAAGTAGGAAGTATTTGATAAAATCGATCTTAATTCCACAACTCATGACAATTTCATTAAGTCAAATTATGTGTACAATGGATATTAAGTTTTAAAAATTTTTATATCCCATTAAAAAAGTTATATCCCATATAACTATAGAATA